AAATGATCAACCTATAACAAGGAGATAGCGACTTTTATTTAACTGACTTTTTGGGAAAGGGCCCAATAAATCGATGCCAATTATTTCATTTGGAAATTCGGATTTAATACTATTTAGAAACCCGGCCGGGCGGAAATTAATATAATTCGCTGCTTGACATGTTGGGCAGGACTGGACATACGCCCTTGTTAACTTTTGCAGTTCAGGAAAGTAGACTGCCTCGCGTACGCGTTGGATAGTTTTTCGAATACCAGCATGAGAAGCTAAAGGGCTGTCATGGAGCTCCTGCAGGATATTTAATCTAAGACTAGCTGGGATAACAGGTCGAAATTCGTTGTTGGAATTCGTAGTTTTTGTATAAAATAATAGACCATCTATTAGTTCGTAATGGGCCGCCCTATTTCTTATCGCCACAATATCTTGGTGGCTAAAATTTTCAGGATCCTTCAAATACTCATAAATACTTCCAAACTCAGGATCCTTACCCAGTTCGGTTATTACAGTTTCTCGGGAATTTATTGTACATGCTGTAAGCATTGCCACTTTTACGGTATTACCCTGTTCGTCTAATTTAATTCGTGATAGGGCATCTGCTACGATATTTTCCTTTCCGGGGGTATGCTTGATTACCAGATTATATTCTTGCAGCTTGAGTGCCCATCTTATTAACCTTCGGGATAAATTTTTTCCTGAGTACAATCTAGTTACCGCCGCATGATCAGAATATACTGTTATCGGCGCCTTTCCAAAATAGACTCGGAACTTTTGCACTGCTAACAGAACTGCAAGTGCCTCTCTCTCGGTCGCGGAATAGTTTCTTTGTGTTTGATTTAAAGTTCGGCTAAAAAATGCCACGGGCTGCTGATTTTGCGAAAGTACCGCTCCTACCGCATAATCCGAAGCATCCGCTGAAATTTCTAAAATTTCATCCTTTTCAGGAAATTTCAACACAGGGGCTTGCGTTAATGCTTGTTTTAATTTTTCGAAAGCACTATTGGCTTCGGCCGTCCACGAGAATCTTGCCTTTTTCCTTTTTAATTTTAACAATGGCTCAGCGATAGCCGCAAAATCTTTTATAAAGGACCTATAATATGAACAAAGTCCTAGAAAAGAAGAGAGCTTCTTTGCCGTGTTTGGAGTCGGATACTTTTGTACAGCGATTATTTTTGATTCATCTGTCTCGATCCCTTTTTGCGATATTTTGTAACCTAAATATTTTAATTCAGGGGCTGCAAATTTGCACTTTTCGACATTAACTTTTAGACCGGCCTCATTTAATAAAGAAAACACCTGTCTTAAATCCTGTACATGTTGGTCTAGATTATCACTAGTAATAATGATATCGTCTAAATAGATAAATGTGGACTTTCCGAGAACAGGTCTTAACACAATGTCCATGCATCGCTGAAATGTTGCTGGGGCGCCTGAAAGGCCAAACGGCATTCGCAAAAATGCATAAGTGCCAGACTTGGTTATAAAAGCAGTCTTAGGCACGTCCTCAGGCCTGATCCCTATTTGAAAATAACCATTCGTTAAGTCTAAAGTCGTCATAAATTTGGTTGATTTTATGTTCCTTAAAATTTCTTCTATAATCGGTAACGGATATACCGGATATTTCGTTATGGAATTTAATTTACGGTAATCAATAGCGAATCTCCACCTTTTTGGATGCTCCAAAGGATAATCATTATTTTTCTTACATAAAACCACCGGACTAGCATAACTACTTGAGATAGGCGTTATGATCTTTTTACGTAGCATATCGGTAATATGCCATTCTATAATTTTTTCCTTATTCTTATCATACCGGTATGGTTTTTGACGAACCGGCAATGCATCTCCGGTGTCAATACTATGGTTAGTAACCTGAGTAAATCCTGGAATATCACTAAATAAGGAAGCAAATTCACTTACCACTTGTCGGATTCTATCTTGCTCGTCATTAGGCAGGTGGTCAAGATTTAACCTTCGGCGGTTCAACCTTTTCTACACGCACTGGTTTCATCGTCAGCTTAAAGAGACGCTTCATTAAAATCCAGTGTAGCTTGTGCGTCTGAAAGAAAGTCTATTCCTAGTATTAAGTGTGCTTGCAAATTCTTTACTATAAAAAACATCACCTTTACTTGTTCGTCCTTGATACGGATGTACAAAGGTACTTTACCTACGCACTTACATTTTCTCCTTGCGCCGCTAATACTGTCGTATTATCCGCATTATATATGCGGTATTTGCGAAAATACTTTCTAAAAAAGACTTCTGCCACACAGGAACACTGCGCGCCGGTATCCAGGAGTGCGGTGGCCGGGATATTATTTACCAAGACTTCAATCTTCGGAAGAGTTAAATTTTTCACCATTACTGTATTTAACTTGTAGGAAGAGGGGTTTTCGTGGCCTTCGGATTTCCGCACCCTCTCGTCAGCAGAAATCCGTTTTAGTTTAAATTATTTTTCTTTCGGTGCTTTCCTTCTTTTCTCCACTGGCCTTGAGACTTTTTTCCTGGGTTGCTATTGAACTGTCGACGTTCGCCGGCTGTTTTTGAATGCTCGGGTTTCCTTGCCCACTGATTCGCTTTTTCTCCGTAGCCATGTGCTTGAGTTTGCTGTAGTCTTGGCGTACCAAATTGGTTTCGCTGTTGATATTGGCGTCTTCTTTCGACGTCCGCCGTTCTTCTACTTTCAAACTGGATTGCTAGCTCAAATAATTTTTCCAGTGTAGTCGGATTTCTCAATTCAATAAAGTCTTGCACTTGGGGTAGTAACCTCGGCAAAATCACTTGAATTATTTCAGGATCCGGACGGTTTCCATACAAGAGCTTGAAAACGTGAATTTTTCTTAAAATAAAGCTCGAGAGGTTTTCGATTCTTTGTTGATATATACTGAAAAGTTCCGTTTCTAATTTCGCACGATCCCTTACAACAGGGAAGGCTTTTAGTAGGGCAGTCTTGAAATTTTCGTAAGTATAGGTGGGACTTCCTGCTTGACCCAAGAGACTTCTGCCGATACATTTGAACCAGTTAAGCGCTTGGCCCCTCAAAGCGCTGGTAGCTAAGGTAACTTTTTGAAACTCGTGCACGGGGTAGAGCATGAAGTGGTCATCCAATTTTTCCAAAAAACTGGTTACCTGTGAGTTTCCATTAAACGTTGCTTCTGGTTTCATCGAAGCGCGCATGGTCTGGACGATGTACCCAAATCCTTCCAGGGCGGCAGCTGGCATTTCTGGATTCTGAGCCGTTTCTGCAGGCAGCACAGGTTCTTCTTGAAACTCGGCCATGGTTATTCTTCGTCGGGCGCCACTATCAGGTTCAATGTTTCTTCTAACCTTCTTCGGAAACATACAATGACCTGACTAGGAACAGAGAGCTTACTAAAGCTATGTTCACTAATTGTAGTAAGTAGACAGGATACAGACGAAGGGTATACAAAACCCTTTATTTTTTCTTTATATACAATGACTTCCGTACTTCGGAATACAATGACCCTCCACTCGGGGTCTAACGTAAAAGATATCAAAAATAAAACTAAACTCTAATTTAACTTTAGAATAAGATTGGCCTTATAATAACAGGAAGCGTATGTAGCACAGAGACTGTGAACACTACAATACGTTTAATTTATCAAGAGGATTAAAACCTCTGGCCTGGAAGGCAAAGTAGCAACTGCGTAACTTCTAAGGTAAGCGGCCTGCTTCGAACTCACGGCTTCCTCTCTCTCTGCTTGGCAAAAAGGCCACACTTAAATACTTGGCGTTCGCCAGACAACTTTGCATAAACTCCTTCACGCTTATAATTCTGGCCGGAAGTAGAAAATAAGAAGTGATAGTAAAGATTTAAAATAAAATAAACGTTAGTAAAACTAATCCTTACAATTATTTAAATAGAGTATTAACCATTCGTTATTGCGAACACAAGCGATTAGAAATATGACGACCTGTAAAACTAACATTACTAGGATATGTAAAATATATCCTAGTTTAACAGATCTTCATATCCTTAATCGCTTGTTTATCAATTCAAGATAATACAAATACCTCATCCAGCAACTGATTCAAGCTATCGAAAAGAATCCTATACTCAGAAGTGGACACGTTCATAGTGGATGTTGCTGACACATTACGGATACTAAGCATTTATCTTGCGAAAGCCAGCAGTGTGCTTTTCTAAATTTGATTTAGATTTTTGCAATCATTTCTTACGGTAATGTAGTTCAGGAGTACTAGTTATAAATTACATTATGTAAAACATAGAAAACAAAATTCACTTTGTTTTAATCATTTTATTTATTGATTAATATGATTTTAATTTATATATTAATCATTTTATTTATTGATTAATATGATTTTAATTTATATATTAATCATTTTATTTATTAATTTAAAAGCGTTTCGCTAAGTGGACTCGTGCATCGTAGCTTAATAGAATTTTTTCCTCATAATTCCACTTTCATATCTTAGAACTTCGCTCAGTTCTCATATGTAAAGATTAACAGTGCGTATAACATAGTCATTTGACTTCTTGCTCATGTTCATTGATGACGTAAAATTGTATGCTATAATAATGATAAAAGGACCATTATAAAAGAACAGCAGACGATCGTCTTTTCCGTTAGTCATGCATATGATGTATTAATTATTAGGAATTAATATTTAATTTAGATGGCTACCTCTAAAAAGAAATACAAAATGTTTCAAATTTTGTTTTTAAAAAAGTCTATATTTACCTTTATCTTATTCTAAATCAGTTTCTTTCTATTAAAAAGCTTATACGTGCGTAATGTTTAACGCTTTCTTTGTTCCGTAATGTAGTTTCATAGTTTAGTCACTGAAATAATTATAAAAGTGATAAATTTAAAGGCTTGTGCTAAAGTTTGTTTCATGAAGAGAAATTTGTATTATGATATTAAAGAAATTTATTTTATATTTTACTGTTTCATTTTATCAAATGATTAATAGTTCACACACACACATATATAGGTATATATCATATACATATATATTTTTAGGAATTTGGAACTTACAATTGAACATTTTCGGAGTAAAGACTAGTTCATTGGGATTGTTCCATTCAACATCTAAAGGTAAGAAGAAAAAAAATTTTTTTTTGGGGGGAGAACTTTGAATACTTGTTAGATTTTAAAAAGTGGAATTTCAGAAAGAAAAGTTTTTGAAATTACCTCCTTATAATATAATAAAAAAATAATATTAATACAGGTGATGAACATTGATAAATAGCGAAATGTTAATTGACATTCAATAATCAGTAATTAATGTATAAAATATTAAGTTTGAAATACGAGACGATATTTGAATAATGATTTTGTAAAGATGTTATGAAATATGATGCAAAACACTAGTTTTCTCCTCTATTTGCGACATTATTTGTAGTGTATTACGTAAATATTTGAAATAATTTAGGAGCCTTAACTTTATCTTTAGGCTTGCAAGATGTATCTTTGTGATATTTGGAAGAAAACATTTGGAACTAAACGAACTTTAGTGTGACACAAGAAAACTCATGACATAAAACCTGTCCATTGTATAGAATGTGATGCCTCGTTTCACAGAATCAGTCATCGCGTGCGTCATATGGCGACTGTACATGGTGATAGTAAACTATTTTCCTGTAATAAATGTGTAAAGTTATTTTCTATAAAGGATCATTGCAAACAGCATCAGAAATCATGCGTTCCTCATAAGCAACAGAAGGCTGGTGGCGGAGATTCGTTGAAGTGTAAAAGGCCCAAGTCTGACAGTGGAATACATTTTGAAAATCCATGCAATTTCACTAAAGCTCTGATTGATACTTTAGTTGTTCATCAAATAAATCCGAAGGATAATGAAAACGGAGATGTGAATATTTTTCTACAAAATTCAATTGATAAAGTACAGCAGATTTTACTTTCTGAAAGACAGGAAAAAAGAAGCATTAAGGGGGACGCCGCACTTGAAGCATGTTTGCAGAGACGTAGCTCCAACGAATTTGAATACTGCATTTCATTTTTTAGGAGTGATTGTTTTGTTAGTCTACCAGAATCTGAATTCAGGGGTAATCTTAGTGAAGGTTATGAAAAGATTTTGCCAAGCTTTAAAAGCTTTAAAAGAAAAGCAAGTGGATGAGTACTGAATTACATAATCGGTTTCATTGTTAATGTCGCTAAATTTCAGCCGCTTTCTGCATCTAGTTATATACCCAAACCTCGAAAGATTTCAATTAAGGGAACGGTTATTGATGTTAAAAATAATGACCAAAAGTGCTTTTTATGGTCCACTTTAGCAGCAATTCATCCTTTACCTTCACATGCTGAACGTATTACACAGTATGAACAGTATATGGAGGAGATTGAAGTTTGATGAGCTTTATTTCCCATTGCCTCTACATCAAATTGAAAAATTTGAAAGAATGAATGGTATATCTGTCAATGTGTTTGGTTTTGAAAAAGAAGGTTTCCCATTATAAGAAAAGAAGTTTTCCCATCATATTACAAAGAAAGTGAACAGCATTCACGTGAACCTTCTTCTTTTGAGTGAGGAAGAAAAAAGTATTATTGCTACATAAAAAATGTTAGTAGACTTTTAAGTTCCCTGCCAAAGCATAATGGAGTTGCCTTTTATTGTCCCTACTGTTTGCATCGGTTTTCGAAGCAAAATATTTTGACATCTCATATACGAAAAAGTCAAACTCATGGCCTTCAGAAAATCATTATGCCTTCAGAAGAAGAAAAATAGTTGCAGTTTGAAAAGTATGAATTTCAATTGAAAGTACCTTTTGTCATATACGCGGATTTTGAATCGTTCATCGTTAAAGTTGACACATGGATAAACAATGCGAATACTTCTCATTCAACAATTATGTCTCACCATATTGCATGTGGGTATTGCTATATTGTTATAGGTCCTGATGGAAGAACGTTCAAAGATCCAGTAGTTTACAGAGGAGATGATGTTATTGATCACTTCCTTCAAGACATGTTTAAAGAAGAGCAATTAATAAGTGATATTTTAAATAATAAGATACCAACGGAAATATCTTTCGAAGAGGAAGTTCTTTTCCAACAAGCTAAAGTTTGTCACATATGTAAAAGTACTTTAGGCAAAGATCGTGTTCGAGATCATGATCACATTACGGGCAAGTATTGCGGAGCAGCGCATAGAAGATGCAATCTGAATTTTAAACTCTCTAAAAAAATTCCGGTTGTTTTACATGGGTTGAAGAGTTACGATGGTCATCTAATCATGCAAAGACTTGGTAAAATGAAGCATAAAAAATTCAATTTCATCGCACAAAACATGGAGCAGTACGTTACATTTTCGATGGGAAAACTACAATTTTGGAATTCATTCTACTTTATGGCCACATCATTGGAAAAACTGGCAGGAAATCTTGAAAATGAACAATTTCATATCCTGAAAGATCACATCGAAGACAGTAAGAAAATAAGCCTTTTGTTGCGAAAAGGTGTTTATCCATACAATTACATCGATTGTCATGAAAAATTTGAGGAAGAAAAGCTACCCCACCGTGATGCTTTTTTCAACGATTTAACAAATGAAATACTTTCAGTAAGTGATTATGACCACGCTCAAAATGTGTGGAAAACGTTTGATAATAAAAATATTGGAGACTATCATGATCTGTATATGAAAACAAATATACTGTTACTTGCCTGTATTTTCGAAAACTTCAGAAATCTTTGCTTGAATTACTACGAGATCGGCGCTTGTCATGCCTATACAGCGCCTGGATTAGCTTAGCAAGCTTGCTTAAAAATGACTGAAGTTAAATTATAACTTTTAACTGATCCAGACATGCATTTATTTTTTGAAAAACCTTTGTGCGGTGGTGTAAGTGTTATTGTTAATCGTTTCAGTGAAACCAATAACAAATATGTGAAACTTTGTATTCTAGAGGATGACAGCAGATACATAGTATACGTAGACGCTAACAATTTGTATGGTTGGGCAATTGGGGGGGGGAATTCAACCACTTCTAACTTTTGAATTTAGATGGTTATCTGAAAAGGAAGTAAAATTATTTAAAGTTACTGATATTGATATGGAAAATATGGCTATCTCTTAGAAGAAGATTTGGGATATCCAAAACAACTTCACGAGCTACATAGTGATTATCCTCTAGCTCCTGAAAAATTACAAATCAGTTCTGACATACTTTCATCTTATTGCAAAAATATGCTTGAAAGTCGAAATGGATTACTTCCTACAAATGTTATGAAACTTGTTCCTAACTTATATGATAAGAAAATGTATGTACTGCATTCTAAAAATTTAAAGCAATTTTTTAAAGTTGGGAATGGACTTGAAATAAATTCATCGTGTTATCAAGTAAGACACATGGATGCAACCGTATATAGAATTTAATACAGAACAGCAAAAACTGGCTGAAAATGATTTCGAGAAAGACTTTTTCAAATTAATTGTTTCATTTGTTAAATCGTTGAAAAAAGCATCACGGTGAGGTAGCTTTTTCTTCCTCAAATTTTTCATGACAATCGATGTAAATGTATGGATAAACACCTTTTCGTAACAAAATTTGAGAAATCGTGTCGATATACGATTGGTAAATAATGAAAAATGCTTGAAAAAACTTGTAGCATCTCCCGCGTTTAAAGGTTCTACGATTTTTAGTGATGATTTTGCGGCAGTAAATACGAAGAAAACAGCTCTCAAATTAAATCGACCTATATATGTTGGATGCTTTGTACTACACATTAGTAAAACCCTTATGTACAGTTTTCACTTTGATTTCATAAAGATAAAATATGGTAATAATGCTAAATTACTTTTTACTGACACAGATTCTTTGTGATGTATGCGACATCGAATAATGTTTTAAAGTTCTTTCGATAGAAATAAAGTAAACAGTTATTTAGTCTACCCAGATTTACTTTATTCTTAAAATATATTTTTGATCACTTTTCTTCATAGAGCTATCATCTCATCCCTAAAGTTAAAATAAAAATTTCAGAAATTTAACAATTGCTTTCACTTCGAGTTACACTAATTTAAAAATAACTGACTTTCAAACAATTTTATTTGTAGTTTCACTGCGCATTTAGTGAAATAAAACGTCATTCTTAAGCTATTAAAGTGGCTTAAAGATTTCAGTAAGCGTTTAGAAAATACATTAGTGATGGAAACACACAACACAGACACAAAATTTCGAAATGATTCCTATAACAAGCGCTGTTTCAAAATCTCTGTTTGACATTTATGCACCTGGTTTCACTATTTTTAGTGAATAATCTAACGCTTTCTGTCTGATATTTTAGTATGAATGCCGTTTTAGTTATATCTTGTTTCACCATTTCTGTTTACATTTGGTAGTAATGCGTGAATTTTATTAGGCATTAAAAGCTTCTTTAGTTTCCCGAATGTTTCTTGGTAAGATGCAACTTATTTCCACATTTTTAGATGCAGCTTTATATCTTTCAACCAAAAATTTATTTCATAACACGTATGTGTGCACAATATGCATAGTAATAAATAAGCTGGGGAATTTCTGAATGTTGATTAAACGCGTTTGAAGTTGCTGCTTTAGAAAATTTGTGAATATAAAAATAATTGAATTGCGGTATTTTAAAGTATCCCTAACGGTTACTACAGTTCTCCAGGTTTATGCGTAATAGTTGCTACATCTGTTAGGGATAAACCATAAATATATTAAAATAAAGTATAAAAGTACGGAAATAGTAAGCAAACTATTTGGCTAGAAATGACCCAAGTAACAAAACCTGTTATGTAACGAAAACTTTCAAAGTGTCCAAATTTTCATTTGTAATGAGGTAAATTTTTCCTGAAGTATGTAGCATGATATATGGTAATGTTTATTTTAGATAACGCCTTGTTTTTATATTTATTCTTTTCTTTACTTTTTGTTTCTTCCATCGCCTTTCACCAGAAGGAAAATTAGCTTGGGTTTATTTCACAAGCGAAGTTATAATTTATAGAGTACTTTGGCAGTTATACAGTATTATTTGTTAGCCAGAGAAGACGAGTTATCCATTTGGCCAACGTCTGAATTTTGTGTGTATTAGAGCATAGCGTTCTTATCATCTGAAGC